GTATTTATTCAATCAAAGAAGTAAAACAGGCAACATGAAGACCCACTTTAGACCATGTTTTTTGTTTTGTAAATTGTTAGTGTGCTATCAAGGATGTAAAGCTTGATGAAAATTGGTTGAAAGATCAACGAAACATAATAACGAAACTAGTTTTCGCTATTTACACGGCTTTCTCTATATGTGACGGCAAGAGAGTGTGGCAAACACACACTCAAGCTCACACACACGTATATTTTTTTAGTGAAATTGGAATGAATTTGAACAGCGAAAGTAAATCAGAGCAATTTCGTTTACTGATGGGAAATCTGATCTAGGGCACGAACTGTAACCATTGGAACTGGGTCATTAGAAGACAATGAAAATTGTCGAAATAAGTTTTTTGTTTAAAACTTGGAATAGATTTTGAATAGTGAAATTAAGTCAGAGCATTTTGTTTACTGATGTTGAAATTTGATCTAGTCCAGAAGTTGTACCCATTGAATTTGGGTCATCAGAAGACAATGGAAATGGTCGAAATAATTTTTATCGATTAAAAATTGAAATAGAGCTGAGTAAGCGAGGAGGACCTTTTGAATTCACAGGGTTTTGGTTGAAACAGCCAAAATCCCGTGATAATCACGTGCGTCCAAGGTTTAGTTGTAACCAGCCGGGTAGACTGTTCACACGGCACAGTGGATAAAGGCGTTGGTTAGATCCAGTCACAGGACCCAAAGAGTGTGAGTTCAATATCCGGCTAAGGCAATAGAAAACTTTCAGAGGGAAATTAACAGGAGATAACTGATAACTGACATCTATTAAACAGGACACGTGGAACTAGAACAGTCTACCCCAGTTAGCGAAATAAAGTGTTCAGTTCGACATTCCAACCAACTGAGGAGGGCCGGAGCGTACAACGACCGAAACGTTGTAATAAATATGGCGACAAAGATGAGGACAATAGTCCGAATAATGTAAATAATCTACATAATACCTAATCTCAGAAATATAGAAAGACCTCTTTGGTCAGATTTCCTGGGCGTTTTTTTCTTGCTAAACTTTCATAATTTGGCGTATTAAAACTTCGTTGAAGGTGTGACCCTTTTGAAACTATCAATATCAATGCGTTTTAAAAATTTAAATCAGCCTGAAGATCAAACGACCTTTCCCTTTTTTTGGAGGAAGATTGTTTCCATTGCACGGATTGTCTCTTCATCTCTGACTCAAATCTATAAAGCAACACTCATCCTGCGATAGGAAACCAGCTGGACCGGTCCTAAGCAATGACAGGTTCACCTGTGATTTAATGAGCCTGGTGAGTTGTTGATTAAGTGTCAGAAAGACGTTGCCACAACCGAGACGAAACTTCCGTAATGCGAAGTTTATTGTGCAGAATATTTTCAACTATCACATTTGATATACTAATAGCAGTAGTAACTTTATGTATAGTCAATACTCTATCACTAATCAGCATGTGGTGAACACGATCAATGGTATCCTCTGTGGTGGCAGTCACAGTACGTCCAGACCTTGGATCATTTTCAGACTCACCATTTCCCTCCTAAATTCATGTCCACATTTTCCCTGTTGATAAAGCTGGAGCCTCATTCTCTAATCTAGCTACTATGTCAGCAAGAATGTTCTTGGGGGCTAAACCGTTTTTAGTAGGTACGCTAACACCATGATGATAAATGTGGAGTCGCTACTTTTTCCCTTTTGAAGTTTTCTTTTAACCGAATTTACCTGAAACAGAAAAAACAAAAACAAAAAAAAAAGTTATCAATATGAAGAGTTGAAATGATGGATATCAAAGGTCTAGCATCACTCCTTCCTAGTCAGCCTATATATCATTTTCTACCTCAAAGCATTTTTAGTAAAATGTTTAGTAATGTATTTACATTGTACCGATAAGAATATTACCCTTGTGGAAATTAATAGAAAAAACGAATAATCCCATTATTAGTAACGGTTTTTCGTATTTTCCAATGAAACATGACCCAGTGCACATGTTATTACTTTGCAAATCCCTTCCACGAAGTCGTTCCTTGCAGACTGACCACAGATACACGATAGGATATAAATCAGGAGAGTTCCCACGCCAGTCTATAATATTTGATTTGCTCACTGGTAAGCCTTGCCAGTGTGTTCGTGCAGCGTTACGATTTCCATACGCTTCCTTAGAGCAACGTACATCGCAGACAATGGCCGTAGGACAACTATTCGACAGTCGATACAAGTGTTTGAGATTGATAAAAATCTGATGCTATCACGAATAACGCATTATTATTCAAGGCCAAACAAATTTTATAATACACCACAAAAATAGATTCGTATTACTGCACACCGCTCCAAATGACCTGAGGAAAAAAAAATGATTAAACTAGAGGACTGTTGGGTTTGCGAGATGTTAGGTCAGGAGCACGTGCTGTTTATTCCTGCTAGAAGAAGGTTCAACTACAAGAGCATGTCGGACTCAAGTTGAGTCCAAACGAAGGTGTAAAGAAAACAAACAAGACCGATATAT